AAAAAAAAAAGCCTAGACACACAGAAGAATAACTGTAGGAAGAGGCCAAAGTTTTGCTATCCTGAACTGGAATTCTTCCTTGAATTCTTGGAAAAGCCATCTTGTCCCATGTAGAGATGAAACGTAAATGCTGGTTTCTTCTCTAACCTTGTATTTTTAAATTAACATAAGGTAAAATCCTTCTTGGAATAAAAAGGAAGTTACAAGTTGAGTTATAAGGATTATTTTAGTCTTCTGCTTTAAATGAGGAAAAAAAAGAGACAGGTGTTCTGCAGTAAAAGCTCACAGTCTGCAAAATCTTACTCCAGGAAAACTGAGTTCACAAGGAAAATAGGGTTCCAGCCAGACCACTCAAAGTCTAGGCAGCTCTGCCATCAGAAGAGTAAAAAAATAATAATAATTCTAAAAAACATCAGCACAGTTAAGAAGATATGCTGAATTGCTAAAATAAATAAATAAATAAATAAATAAATAAATAAATAAATAAATAAAAATACAACTGTGGCCAGGCTCGGTAACTCAGCCTGTAATCCCAGCACTCTGGGAGGCCAAGGTGAGTGGATTGTCTGAGCCTGAGGGTTCAAGACTCACCCGGGCAACTTGGTGAGACCTTGTCTTTACAATAAATCAAAAAAAGTTAGCCAGGCATGGTAGCGCACATCTGTAGGTCCAGCTACTTGGAAGACTGAGGCAGAAAGATCGCTCGAGCCCAGCAGGTTGAGGCTGCAGTGGCCGGGAGCATACCACTGCACTCCAGTCTGGGTGACAGAGTGAGACTCCAACTCAAAAAAAAAATATGGCTGTAATTATAGGATTCTATCTTCAAAAGACAAACAGGGAAAGCAGATGATGGAAGGCAAAGCACAGCCGTTATGGTGTGGAGGTGGGGCAAAACAGGGAAAGAAACAGCAATGACACAGCATGTGGTCACACGAAGCCTAGAAGCAGGAACTAAGAAGCACTGTGCACAGGACCCATGTGTCAGTACGCTCTGTGATCGGCACCAGTACTTGGTCCTGCAAACCATTCAAGTCACAAATGAACCCATGCTATTCTGTGTCATGACACCCTCCCTGTATCTGCCAGCCATGCAGAGCAAATGTGCAATAACAAAACACTCATGACAGCAGACCAGCCAGCACCACCTCCTTATAAACTTCTCTGCAGGAACTGCAGTTGCCTTACTCACTGCAACAACTGCCTGCATGCACACGTGCAGTCATCCGGCCCACACAGTGCAGGGAATACCCAGAAAAGCAAGAGTCATGCAATCTGCAAGAAGTTCAGCACTGGGCGAGGGTGCAGATGAGTAAATCAATGGGGGATAATTGTCAAAAAAGAGAGATGGACATGACTTTCCAGCTGCTGTACCTAGAACACTTCTATCTGTTGACTTGGGAGGTGGTTTTTGACATTGTTAGGAGCAACAACTCAAGGTTTAAAGCTGCTTGAATTCTTAATCTGCCTCTCCTGGGAAATCTTGGCCGAGGGACTCCATGCTCCATGGACTGTTTTCTATAACATAATGGTAGTAATAATAGTGCTCATCTTTTGTGTTGAGGAATAAACAAGAGGATGCATGTGAGGTACTTAGCACAGTGCCAGCGATGCTCAGAGATAACTCCTGGTCACCCTCTGCTAGAGACTGAAGCATCTGGAAGGCAGAGAGTCAACAAGAGCTTTTCATCTTTGCCCTTCCAGTGCCTGACACAAAAAAGGCACCTCACAATGGTCTGTAGAACAAATGAATTATAATGGATATAACTACGGTATTTGATCATCGCCAAGGACAATTTTCTTTTCTTTACTCCCTTTCATCCTCGCAATTCCAACAGTGGGATCAGCACTTGCCTGATGACAACACCGAGCCTCAGAGAAAGCGAGCATCTCGCCTAAGGCCACACAGTCAGTCAGCAGAACAAGGAAGGGCATCCCAGCCTGTGAACCCTGACCTTCTGGCTTGAACCACAGCCACATATGTGTCTGCAGAGCCCTGGGTCAGTGAAGGGCTGAAACCGACCTGCTCACAGCCTGCACTGGGATAATAAACGTGGTTTCTGGTCCTGACACCTTGGTGTTTCTCAATCATAAAATCCCATTAGCTGGATACGCCTACAAAATACTCACATATGAGACAAGAGGTGGCTATTTTTAAATTGCATTTCAGACTGTTATGTGTGGGAAGGTGTATTTTTGGTGTGCTGACCGTAATCGCATATCTGTGATGGTTGAGTCATGCTGCATGCTGTGCTGGCTCTAGAAGATATGAACCATAGAAGGGGGCCATGACCTCATGGTGATTTTCCTGTGGGTGGGGGGGGATACATGACTTTGTGGTGATTTTCCTGTGGGTTGGGGGGGTACATGTCAAAGCTTACTCACACATGCTACAGCGCTCCACTCTCTGGGGTTGACACCTAACCCAAGAGGGGTGAGAGTGCAGAGGCTGGATGTGGCAGGCCCAGATTTGACTATTAAAGCTGTATCTTCCTACTTCAAGGTCAGGTGCAAAGATCTTCCCATGAGAGGGCACAAGGGGACATAACATAGCACTGAAAACAAATTCCTACAAAGACAAAAGCACCGACATGATTCCCAAGCACTGCCTTATTTTCACCCTGATCGAAGGCATGGAAGTGTGTTCTATCAACATGTGTGTGGACAGGTGTTAGCAGACTCCCTAGGATCTGCCTCCCAGCAGTGATAGACAAAGAAGGCCAGAAAGATGACCAGGAAGTAAGGACAGCACAGCCTGCTGTTCCCTACTGGACAACCTGTAAACTGAGGGGCTTCCTGTGTGGCCCAGGTCAGCCAGGTCTCTGGTCACATCTTCTGTGTGCCTCCGATGTTGCAACTGCAGTCTTGGGCACCGGGGAACAGGTGAGGAGAAACAAGATCTCCACCTAACATGGGGCTTACTCTCAAGAAGGGGGCCAGATAATTCCCAAGGAATTAACATTCAGAGAGGGACAGCACCAGGCAGGGAATTAAGAATGACCCAGTCACCCAGGGCCAAGCCAAAATTGTATTCAAGGAGAACCTGGAAGCTATGGAGACTTTTAGCAGAAGAATGAGATGACCCAGTAAATGCTTTAAAATCATAAATCACCTAATTTCATCACTCAGCAAACATGTGAGTGCTAAGAACTCTCATTTTTCTGAGGCAAGTGAGCCTCAGGGACATAAGATCATTGTTCCAAAGGTCCCAGAAGCTAGAACTGTCAAGTCCAAGGTCTGAACTCAGCATGCCTGACTACAGAGCCTCACTTCCATATCCTGCCTGTCACTCTATCAAGAGAATTCTGAGCAGATGGGAACAAATGCCACTCCCCACCTCCCACCCAACCCCAACAAATTTAAGATTAGCAGGGTCTTTCAATTCTTGACTGAAAGCATGGGTAAATGTGAACACATCCTCTTTTATAAAGTATAACTTCATTTGTCCATTTGGTAGGGTCAAGTCTGGGTAAATGCAGGAAGAGCAGAGCTTGGCCCTGAGACCATGAGCTCCCTGGGAAGGGGCCTTGTCAACTCTTGTCCAGTTTCCAGCACTGCCCCAGCATGTTAACACTAACCACTGGGAGAATAAGGGAGCCACTCTGCCCCTCAGAAGTCAGTAAGCTTGAGTGCAGCCTTACTAGTCCCCTCGGGGCCAGGAGGGAAGGAACACTTCCCTCCCTAGATAGAGACGGTGCATGTTCAAAATGGGTTGGGAAACCGCATACAGAGCAGCTAAGAAAAGAAAACCTAAAATATGGTTCTATTAGAGAACAGGACAACAGATATCAAATGCCAAGTTGAGATGGGCTTGATCCGCAGCAACTGGGACAGGAGGAGAAGGCATGGGGATGGAAGGGCAGAGTAACTGCACTCCCAAAGACTTCCACATTCTGATCCCTGGAACTTGTCCATATATCAGTTTACATTGTGAAGAGGAAGGTTCCAGATGGAATGAAGTTTGTTCGAGGTAGGGAGATGATCCTAGATTATCCAGATGGGCCTGCTGTCATCTCAAGGGTCCCCAAGAGAGGAAGGACGAATCACAGAGGGAGAAACAAAGAGATGGTAACATGGACTCAACCTGCCATTGCTGGCTCTAAAGTAGAAAGAGCTATGCTCAAGGAAAGGGGTGGCCTCTGGAAGCAGGAAAGGGGAAGGAAACAGACTCTCCCTAAGTCCTCCAGAAAGGATCCCAGCCTTGTGACTCCTTTATTTAGCCCAATGAGACTCCAATCCTCCAGAACAGTAAGAGAATAAATGTTGAATTGTTTAAGAGGCTATGTTTACAATCATTGCTACAGCAGCAACAGGAAACTTGCAACACGGATCAGGGGCTTACATTGCTTGGGCATGGTCAGGAGAAGGAGATCTAGGAAGAGGGGACCTGCTAGAGAAAAAGCCTGGAGTCGGAAACTGCAGGGTATGCAGAGTATGCAGGGAGAGGTTCGTTTTCCAAGAGAAAGATCTTGGGACATCTGACAGCAGTGAGAGCCACAGTTACGGTGGCACTTGAGCCTCAGGGAGGGAGGTCAGCTTAGATATGCATGTCCCTGGGAGCCACGAAGGGTTGTCCCTGGGAAGACGCAATGGAGGGCCCCACAGGACAGCCTGGAAGAAGTGTGTGTGGCAGAGAAAAATACTGGCAAGGAGACAATTGTGCCACATCTCTGCACCATCATGTCCTTAGGTATTCTGCCTTTTCCTCCTGCCCTTTTCAGACTGAGGGTGTGTGTAGGGGCAGTGTTCAGGAGGTGGAACACAGGATTCAGATACCAGGTGCCTCACTTTTACTAACTTCAGTCTCTGGAGAAGACAAGTTCTCTCTGAGTCGCTGCTCTATCCATTACATGAGGATGGTGCAGTAGCGCCCTTCCTCACTGCAGGAACTGGGGCTAACGCATTTACATTCCATGCATGCTGCCTGATCAAGTTCAAGGAACCATCACTGCCTCTGTACCCAGAGTGATGAGCAGTGCAATCAGAATCCTTCCACGTGGTACCTGGATGTTGAGTCTCCCTCGATGTGCTCCCAAGCCATAGCGCTTGGCAAGGGAGGCGTGGAGCTGGAAGTCTGTGATCTTTAAGGTTTCCAGACCAAGAGGTGGACAACTTGGAAAGGACAACGTGTGTTAAAATCAAGGACAGATGCAGAAAGAAATGAGTTTCTGATTTTCTAAGTCTGGCCATGTGTTTTCCATTTTCCCTTGAAGTTCCTCACACTAGTGCCGCCCCCAGCCACTGGCAAGCCCAGTCTTTCCAGATAGGGTAGTTTCCACTGTCAACACTAGGCGAATTTTCTTCCCTGTCAGCATTTGCTTGGGGGTGTTTTGCTCTGATATTCCCTCTCTATGTCTGTACATGCTACTGTCTCCGGCTGTTTCCAATTAAGGACCCTTCCACCTGTGACTCAGAGAGCATCACTGGTTAGAAACTTCAGAAAATCCCACAGGTGAGCTCTGCAAATTAATCAGAATGTGTTGATTTTGCTTCAGCAACTGTGGCCTTTGAATTGTGCATGCTAATGAGAAGAACAATATAACTAGAAAAAAAATCTACTGTTTTTCTGTTCCTGACAAAACCGATAATGTTGAGAACAGCTACTAGCTACTCCTAGACTAAACACCAACACTTGTGAAGGCCCTGGTTAAAGCCCACTGTGCCTATGGATGAGAAAGTTAACAGCAGTTGGCTGGGACCTGGGCCTCCTAACTCCTGCCCCATCCACCCTGCTATTTGGCTGAAATGTTTCAAAGTGAGGTTACCTCCTTAACATCTGACCCTGGAGAAAGAAAACAAACACTCCAGAGTAGACGTAAACAGAATCTATTTCTTCTAGAAGTAACAGAAACTCCCTAATGTAACAGGCAGGTTTACACAACCATGTGGGTCACTGCTGAGGTAATCCCAAAGGGAAAAGGTCCCACAGGTCTCAGGGACAGGAGGAGCATGGCAAGATGACAGTCGCTGGGAGTTCTGTGGGCACCAAGGCAAGGAGGCCTGCCAAGAGCTGCAGTCAGAGGAACCCAGATCTGCCGGGGCCTGAGACGCTGCCTAGTCCTCCCCTTGAGTTCTCAGAAAAGAAAACCGAGGTCCCAGCCCTGAGGTACCCCTGCCTACTGCAGAGCTGGATGTCATGAGATCCAGCCTCCAGAGCTTCAGCTCCAGGCTGACAACTCATGCCACCCAGCCTCCTCACCCTGCTGACAGCTGCCAGGAGACTCCTGGGCTGGGAAATGTTTACCAGCTGCCTGTGTTGTGCATAGCAAGACAGAGGAGCATGGGGAGGAAGGGGACAGTGCCTCCTGCTACCTGTTGGACACTGCAGAAACAGGGCAGTTTCAGAGGGCACTGTGAGCCACCATGCTCTGGCTGGCTTCTGCAAGAGGGCCCCCACAGCAAGAGGGGGCCACACAGTGAATGAGGCCCATGTAGCAAGTCAGAAGTCACGTAAGTAGAGGCCATGCAGTGAAAGGGGGTGTGCGGGGAGTAGCAGCCACACAGTGAACAAGGGAGCACGTCACAAACAAGAAGGGACATGCAGGGAGTGAGTGAGGTGGCCTCATGAGCAGGAACCATGCAGTGACTGTGACAGCCTGCAGGGAATATGTGGGAGGGGGGACACAGGGAACGGTGGAGGCCACACAGTGAGTAGGAGAGTCATGTGAGCAGACACCTTTCAGTGAATGGGGAGTGGGAGGGGCATAATGAAGAGGGGCCCATAGTGCACAGGAGGGTCAGGCAGGAAGGAGGGCCATTTACAAAGTGTACAGTCGTGTGGGGAGACTGTGCAGCAAGCAGCGGACTGTGCACTGAGGGGAGGGTCTGTGAAGCAAGCGTCCTCCTTAACCACCCAAGGCAGGCCTCGTGGGGGTAAGCTGGCTACTATACTCTCTCCCTCACTGGGGTTTGCCCTTGTGCCTTCTGGACCTAGAAGACACATGATTCTGCCCTACACAGTGGCAGTTCCTGGGTCCCAAACCTTTACTGAGTAATGGTGCATTCTGTCTGCCAGAAACTGACTTCAAGCGTCTGACCGAGTGAGATCACGCAGCTCACTCATATTCCCGCTGCCCGCCTCCAACAACCATGCCCTGTCCCGGAGCCTTTTTAGACTGCAACAGCAGCCCTGCTCTGCCCCGCTCATGGTCCAGCAGCCTCTGCAGCTCAGCCCCGAGCCTAGCTTACAGGCCCACACCTTGTCACCCTCTGAGACCTGGTGCCAAGTCGATAGGCACCTTTTCTCGAGTGCTGCTCACTTCTCTGGGCTCCCAGACCCCAGTGGTCACCAGCACCCGCCAGAGGCCCTGGCTAGCACTCAGGACAATATCTGAGGGTCCAGGTCACTGATTCATCAGCCACCTATGCCTTCTGGGGGTCATTCTTCAGCCTGCTCCTCAGAGACTTGGTTCTGACTCCAGGCTCTAAGGCTCCCTCCACTGGAGTGGCTGCCCCACTGTGCCCTGCTCTCACCCACCTCTCCCACTCGCTGCTTGCTCCTCCTCTTGTCACCCAGTCTTGACGTGTCTTGCCTCAGACACAGCCAGCATCCTCAAGAATAACCAGCCTATCCTGAGAGGTCCCACCCACTTGCCCTGGAGATCCAAGCTGGTTGGGCAGCAGTTCTGTCAGGTGATTCTTTGTGTCCTGAGTGTAGCCTCTATCTCTACTCTGCCAGCTTTAGCTTTAGAGCCAAAGGAACCTGGGGTTTCAGAATCTGACAGGAAACAAGGCACTGGCCCTGCCCCTCCATGTCCTGGTGCTCTGTATGGATCTACAGCATCACACATAACCCGCCACAGTCAGAAATACAAAGAGGATCTGCTGCTATTTTGATGAATCTGCTTTACAGCAATGTGGACTGTGTTCCCATCCACCTGGCCCTTCCTTCTTAGTAGATAATGTGGCAGTTGGTGAGTTCCGTGTACTTCATCCAGCTAAGCAATCTCTAATCACTTATATTGTCAGATAGACAGGCAGGCAGATGCACAGAGAGACAGCTGGATGACAGGCAGACACACACATACACACATACACACACACACACACACACACACATTACTGGCTCAATAAAGCAATAATAATAATTGCTGTTAAAAGCATTTCTTGCAGAAAAAGAGAACATCTTATACATATATGAACAGTGTAATGCAAAAAAAGGAACCAGAATAATATCACATATTCATCAAAAGTACCTTTTTTGTTGATATGTGGAAGCTCTGTCACATTCTCTCACCAAGTGAAAAGAAAGTGCCCACAAGTGTGGTGTTTCATGGGTATACATCTAATAGCACCTCAAGAGCAATGCCTGCCCTCTCAAGGGGGCCAGACCAGCACATGTGTCACCATCTTAAGGGTGGTGTTTCCTGCATCTGGCAGCTGCCATGTCTAATGGTCACTCAAGTCCACTCCTGCAATGGTATCTACAGCATAAGCCAGAAGGTCCACCTCCCCTGTCCACAACACAGACAAAGCCTTTGGTGGGGTGTCCAGATAATCACATCAGAACTCAGTCTGTTTGAAAACTTATTCTTACTGGAACCCAACACTCTGACACTAGGATTTTTTCCTTATTAGAAGATGCTATCTTTAGAGTCTTTGGTTTTGTTTGGAAGCCTTCTCTATTGTCCGTGCCATTTACAGAGAAGCTAGGCACAGACCCACACAAAGAAAACACAATGTCCTTGAAAGGCAAAGACAGAGCTACTGACCCACATGTATTAGTGAAGACCCTGTGGCTGTAAGAAACTAACGATGGCTGACTTAGGCAGAAAGGGAATCTCCAGGGGGATGTCACAATGTTCAAAGGACAGGTCAGGATACAGGACAGGTACAGGTAGACAGGGCCTTGGAGCTCTTGTCATTCAGGTGGCAGAAATCACCAAACCCGTGTGTTGCCAGAAGAATAACCAATTCCAATGGCATCTTTTATCCCCAAATCATACCTCTCAGTCTCTGTTCAACCTCACATACATCTCTGAAGAGGGCCTGCCTCACTCGCTCACCTGTTTGCACATTGCCATCAGCAAAGCAAGGGAACGGATGCTAGGATATCTGAGTACACAGCAAGTATGGTACATTGGATGGACTTCTGCAGCTGCCTCTCTTGCATTGAGAGTGAACAGGGGACAGCGCGATCCATGCTCAGTTGTGGAGTTATGGGTTCTTCCAGCTCCCTCCTCTCGCTGGTCAACCCCAGGAGGGGCAAGAGTCCATTTCCACTTCTTCCACACTTTTCCTTTTCTTTGTTTTTGCATCTGTGCTCTGATATCTGTCTCCATTCAAAGTGGTCCCAGTCACTCAGTAGCCCTTTTGGACTCCTCATTCTCTTCCCCGACTCTTCTGTACTGGGCTCTGTAGTTTTCCCCTCTTGGCTGCTCCCCAATGCGCAGACCACCCTTGACCCTGGTTTCCATAATGTAGTGTTATCCCACTTCTCTTTCTTCTGAGACCAAGACTTTCCTCCCTCATTTGGACTTTTCTTTCTGCCACTCCGAGGGAAACCTTTTCCTCCCCTGCAACATAGGGTCACCACCCTCAGATGAATTTCTTAAGGGAGTCCTCCCTCCCTTTCCCTTTAACGTCCCACTCTGGGCACTCACACCTCATCTGCAAGTTGTCCCTGGCACCATTTGCACCAACAGGAGTCAAATCATATGTACAAAGTTTAAATTCAGGGCCTGCCTAGTGAGCTTGTTAGGAGACCAGGCTGTTGATGCCAAGGCTTGGTTGCTCATATGGGCTGCAGATGAGAACACTGTAATTAAAGTTCTCAGTCCATGATCTGCAACTGAAGTAGATATCACAATCATCTTCCAACCTCTCATCCTCAGTACTTTTTTTTTTTTTTGAGTTGGAGTCTCACTCTGTCGCCCAGACTGGAGTGCAGTGGCTGCTCCTGGCCACCACAGCCTCAACCTGCTGGGCTCCGGCGATCCTTCTGCCTCAGCCTTCCAAGTAGCTGGAATTACAAGCATGCGCTACCACGCCCGGCTGATTTTTTGATTTATTGTAGAGATGAGGTCTCGCTGCCCAGGTCGGTCTCGAACCCGCGGGCTCAGGCAATCCACTCACCTCAGCCTCCCAAAGGCGCAGGATTACAGGCTGAGCTA